CGGAAGCCTCTTATTCGGGTCTGGAGTTATTGACTTTGCGGGTTCGGGCGTGGTTCACATGGTTGGGGGCATAGCGGGACTATGGGGCGCTTTTATTGAAGGCCCGAGAATTGGCCGGTTCGACCGGACCGGCCGGTCCGTGGCATTACGTGGCCACAGCGCGTCGTTAGTTGTGCTGGGTTCGTTTTTGTTATGGTTCGGGTGGTACGGGTTCAATCCCGGTTCGTTTCTGACTATAGTGAAAGGCTACGGGGGTAGCAGAGGAGGGTATTACGGTCAATGGAGTGCGATCGGGAGGACAGCTGTCACGACAACATTGGCTGGGAGCACTGCGGCTCTGACGACTCTGTTCAGCAAGCGGTTATTGGTGGGACACTGGAACGTGATTGACGTGTGTAACGGTTTACTTGGCGGTTTCGCTGCCATCACGTCGGGTTGTTCCGTGGTGGAACCGTGGGCCGCGATCGTGTGTGGGCTTGTGGCGGCCTGGGTTCTTATTGGGCTCAATATACTTGCGGCGAAGGTTGAGTACGATGACCCGTTGGAGGCGGCGCAGCTCCACGGCGGGTGTGGCGCGTGGGGGGTGTTGTTCACGGGGTTGTTCGCGAAGCAGGAGTACGTGGAGGAGGTTTACGGCGTTGGAAGGCCGTACGGGGCGCTTATGGGTGGCGGTGGGAAGTTGGTGGCGGCGCAGGTGATTGAGATATTGGTGGTGTGTGGGTGGGTGACGGCGACGATGGCGCCGTTGTTCTATGGGCTTCATAAGATGAAACTGTTGAGGATATCGAGGGACGATGAGACTGCGGGGATGGATTTGACGAGGCATGGTGGATTTGCTTACGCGTATCACGATGATGACGATGGTTCCAGTAAGGGTGGAGGATTCATGATGCGTAAAATAGAGCCCGCTAGTGCATCTCCCTCACCCGTCACCACACCCCAAGTGTGATACGTGAATTCTAGCCACTTCATTATTACTGTTAATCTGTTAATTAATTAAGGTTTATGGTTTATGGACGTTCAGGTGACATAGCTACGGCCAATCCTTGCAACCCTATTTTATTAACCACACGAGAGATGAGACCGCATGCCGCAAAAAATATGTGTGGCGGTCAACATTCTTCAGGAAATATTTTCCTTTCTCTCGTTATATTAGGCCATCTACGTACTGTGCAAATTTTCTTTTGTTGCTTTGGTTTTATTTTGAAACGGAGGAATATCGCTATCCGTTCTAAACTTTTCTATCTGAAAAGTGATGTCAAAATTAAATTATTACATTATTACGGGTAATGAAACCGCAATGTAAAGTGCAGCTAGTGTTTCAATATATACGTCATTTGTTATTTATATAAAAGAAAATAATGTTAGAATGGTGTAACGAACTATATAGAAGATAACCACTGTCTATAACGTATTGTTATTATAGTACCATATGCTTCAACCCATAACAGTCAAATAACCCATTTGATAAAATAAAGCGAGCAAAATGTCAACGCGGAAGGAAGAAAACATCGTAAGAGAAGGCGATGCAAAAATATAAGGGACCTTATTTTTTAAAAATGTTAAAAGTTATATAAAAAATGAATTATTTTTTAAAAATTTTAAAATGACATCGTTTTGCATCAGAATAAATTAAAAAATGTAATAAATCATCACGTTTATATTTAATTTTAACATAAAAAATAATGTGATTAATGATTATTAATTCTAGAGACTAAAATTTAAAATTTAAAAAATAAATTTAAATTATGTTACATATCTTAGGACTAAACTAAAATTTTACTCTACATCAAAGTTGGGAAACACTCACCAAATTAACATGTATCACCTTCGTTATATTTTTAATGTAAAATATTATTATTTTATTAAAATATTGTAAATTAGTGATACCGATCATTGCTTCAAAAAACACTTTCTAAACCCTCAATTTTTTTTTTAAAAAAGAAAACAAGATACAATAATCTAACAACCTTCGTGTGTTGGGTTTGATATTCATTTGTCTCAATTGTTGTCAAATGGAGACAAAATAAAATGAATTATGTTTCACATGGTTTGATACACTGCAATTGCGATGGTAACACAGATACACATTAGGGTTAAGATAATAATGGACAAGCTCTTAAAAATATATGATGTAAAAATACAATTTATAATTTATTTAAAATTGACTAAAATAACTATAAAGGGAGTTATGCTAAAATATTTTTAAATTAAATATAAATTTAAAATTTAAAATACCTTCTTAATAATGACTAATATAGATCTTATCACATGTGAAATAATAACAACGAAGTCATATATCTTTTGTTTACTGCAATTTGTCATTTCTTTTAATGTTTGAGATAACTGAAAAATAATAGAATAAAATTTAAATTATATTTAAATTAAATTTTACTCTTTTATTAAAATTAATATAATTTTTAAGAAATATTGTTATTTAAATTTTTAATATATATATATATATATATTAAAAATACTTTTATGTACATATAATATTTAAATTTGATATTAAACTATAATATTCTATTCATTTTTTTACAATTAAAATTTATTTTTAGAAAAAATTATAATTAGAAACAAAAATTATAAAACGATTAAAATTTTTTACACGTGTTTTTCTTAAAATATACTTTTAGTGAAAATTGTAGATTTTTGTAAAAAAATATTGTGAAAAATATTTTATTAAAAAATGTTCATATATATATTTTTTAGCAAAAATATTAAAATTATATTATTTAAAATAATTTTATTTTATAAAATGTTAAAAATAATATAAAGTATGAATAAGAATTTAATATCTTATACTAGTAATTTTTAACTCAACTTCTTCTAGATAAGAACTTGAATTATGATGATACGATAAATAACTCAACATTATTTAGAAAAATATATGATAAATTATTATATTCTATTGCCTTATCATGTTTACCAAACATACCTTAAAAGAAATTATAATAAATTATTTTTAAATTAAATAAAAATTATAAATTTAAAATACCTTTCTAATAATGACTTGTGTAATTTATCACATGTCAAATAATAATAATAAAATTGTATAATAAAATAAGAGTAAATATTCTTTTAGTTTTTGAAATATGCAACATCATTCAAATTAATTCCCTAAATTTAAAATTTAAAATTTTAGTCTCTAAAATTAGTAATTATCAATTATGTTAGTCATTGTAATTGTTAAGAGATGTTAAAAGTAAATAATAGATGATATGTCACGTTAAGTAATACATAATTCATTTTAAACACAAAACGTTGTTATTTTATAATCTTTTGAAAATAGTTCATTTTCGTTCAATAAAGTCCATTCCTCGTCCTCTGTTTCACCTTCTTCCATGACATCTTCTTTTTTCCTTCCACCTCTACAATAATATTCACACTACAAAGTTCATTCTTCTCAAGTTTTGTCATTTGAACTATTAGCTCCAAGACTCGCCTAAAAATTTTGGTGAATATCATGTTTGAAATAAAATGGACAAGGAAGGAGGTACAATAAAGATTGATTATGTTGAAGACACATGATGATTTCTAGTAACTAGAGGAGGGAGGTAGCGTTACCAACTGATAAAATTTGTCCCCTTTTAATGTATTTACCTTCTAAAGTTGAGGTTTTTGATGCATGCAAATATTTTTTTTAGAACATAGATATATAGTTAATGAAATGCTTAGAGTACCTCTATTTACAACAAAAATAATCTTGTCATTTTTTATAATATAAATGACATTTCTCTCGTATTTGGCTATAGCAAAAATTCCAGAATCTAAAGTAACTTGAGGATCAAGGGGGAGATGAGATTCACGGAGTGTGGAATGGGTTGGCAAAAAGCTTGGATTTGAAGGTGGTTTTAGTAGGTGTGGTAATGAAGAAAAAAAGAGATAATTGAGAGATGATATTTGAGTTAATAAAAACTTTAACTTGTTTGGTTTGTTTATGAGAGAAAAAAATGAGATTTTGAGTTGAATAAAAGAGAAAACTGTGGAGAGAAAAAGAAAATAAAACTACTGTAAAATATATATCAAGAAAAAAAGACATTGTAGCAACAAAAAGAGGAAAGCAAAAAGAAAAAATAATGTAAAAGGAAACCTTATTATGAATTATTTTTCAAAAAGTATAAAACAATATTATTTTGTGTTTAAATTACTTAATTTAACAAATTATCACTCTAATTTTAAGGATTAAAATTTTAAAATTTAAAGATTAATTTTAATTAAGTTACATATTTAGAAATTAAAATAAATTTTTATTTATTAAAGATAAATATGATTGACCGTTCTAAAGGTGCATGAATGTTCATATATTATAAGAGAAAAGATGAGATTTTGAGCTAAAAAAAAAAGTTGTAGAAAAAAAAAAAAAGTGAAATGAAAACATATATTATAAAAAAAAGACATTATTGCAATAACAATGGAAAAAAAGCAAGAAGAAAAAATAATGCAAAACAGAACTTTATTATATGAAAATATTAAAAATAATTGACAAAAATAAATTACTTTTTAAAAATTATAAAACAGTATCTTTTTGTATTTAAAATAATTAAATAAAATGTCACATGTTATTTAATTTAACAAATTATTACTCTAATTTTAAGAATTAAAATTTTAAAATTAACTTTAATTAAATTGGATACTCATGACTAAAATGAATGGTTATAACGGGTTGTAAGGGTTGGGAGGGTGCACGAATGCTCACCAAAAGTTTTACCATTTCAAAACATGTCATTTCCAATCGTGTTTTTGCACTGATGTGTCTTGAAATTCCTTAATCTATTGTTGACTACAGCCCACAATTTCTTTCTCTTGCATTGATCGAAACAAAAAATAAAATAAAATTGAGAGTTGTAGAAACAAAAATGGAAACTAACAGCATAACAATAATTCTATAATTACGTACAAATAAAGAATGTAACAGAAGATATAACTTGAGCATGGACTAACTCGAAACGGAACAAACTGTGTCCAAGATAATTCATATGTACGGTAGTTAATAATAATCATGGGCACTGTGGATTGTTCCCAGGCCCACCATAGTAGAAGTATGTGCCCCATTCGTTGCTATAAGAGCTCTTGATGTCGTAACAGTTTGTGTTTTCGGCTAAGGTTGAGATGCTTTGAGCAGAGCTAAGACTGTTATCCATGTCCACGATCTCAAGGTTCCGGAAGTAGCTTGCTTTTCCAAAGCCATCCTCAGCAAAGTGTCCAGAACCCATTTGGGTAAAGGTGTGTTGGCCGTTGGTCCTTGAGTTCACCACTTCTCCACCCCACTCCACCATAGTCGCATGCTCCGCTAAGTGTGTGAATATCTCTGCCGGCCAATACCCTACCAATGTGTTCTCGCCAAAACTCATCCACCAGTTCCCCACTTTTGGATCCTAATTAATATTCACAACAACAATCAAGATTAATCCTTTGCTAGCTTTGGCGGGTATGAAATGTACATCCATGTAGTTGTTCGTGGAAGAAATACTGACCTTCCAAATGAGGATTGTGATGTCATATTGGTTGCCAGCATAGGAAGAGACTGGAGAAATGGCAGCTCCAATGGCTATCCTGCTATTCGTTTGAATAAAACCAGCACAAAGAAGGTTGTAGCATCCCGTTGCTCGATATGAGTCACTCTGCTTAAGACATTGAAATCTGATTATTATTTCCATAAAACTGTACCAATTACCCTTCTAATTAACATGACATTCCACATGAAACATTATTACCAAAACCTCAAAGCATAAATGTAGTATATTATTGTCATCACATGATCAAATTGAACGCTGTGTGACCACTAATTTAAAATGAGATCTCTGTTTGTAAGAGAGGCAGAGGAATTATATTTATGAGGGAGGAAGAAGAAAGAGATGCTGTACCGTCCAATAAGTGAACAATCTGGGTCTGCTGTCACCATAGAGCTCCGGACTGACCTGACTAGTAGAATAATCAAAGCTTCAGACACTATTTCCTAAAGAGATATTTTATCAACACTCTTCTTCTAAACTCATTCTTTAATATATTTTTGTAATTGATTTATTTTTTAAAAAGTTAAAATTTGTTTTGTAAATTATTTTTAAAAAATTACAATAAATATATTAAAAATAATATCTAATATCATTAATGCATTAAATTCTATAATTTGTAATAAAAATTTATTATATTAAGAGAAATAAACGTTGGAATTGGAAGGAGTACCTGCCATCCAGCTTCGATGCTATTAAGATCAGTGCCATCGAAGGATCCTGAAAGGATCCAAATTTGTGAGAGGCTAAACTCGTTGATCACTTGAATAGATGGATCCCACACGTTTATTGTTGCCTTTGCCCCGTACATCTCTTCCGACGATCCCGTATATGCGATCGCGTGCTGTTTCATGAATTCATATAAAATGCAAAACATCCTTTTGTTTTAATCACATTAGAGCTTCAGATTTGCACCAGAAGGACAACATAAATTGAATTACAAACAAAGCAATCTTAATAACGTTCCACTTGAAATTAAGTAATTTTTAAAAGGATTCGGCGTATGTGAATTACAGCTACTTCACGAGTGTTACAGAAAAGAAAAAGATAAAACTAGTTTCACTCAATTCTTTTTTTAAAATTTAACAACTCAATTTTTTATTTCTTTATTACAGCATTTATCTTATTCTAAAATTATCTTCTTTTTTACATCTCTCTCTTTTGTTATAAGATATGCTCCGAAAAGATACTGTTAAATTAGTATTAGTCAAGAAATATCTTATTGGCAATATTTTCTTATTATTGTTTGGACTAATATCAAAGTGACTAAATTATACGAAAGGAACAATTTTAATTTTAACAAAAAGTAAAGGGATCAAACCGAAACTTTCACAATTCTGTAGAGTAAAAAATTATACCATTTTGACCTTTGGCTGCAACATTTATCATTATCTGTTATTCCTCATTTTAAAAAAGTGATGTTCATTTTGCAAAATATCACATATATATATATATACACACACAAGGCATCTTATCTGATTAAATCGGAGGCACTCACCTCATGGCCATTGGCGCTGAGAACATCGGGGGCATCGTTGCGGGTAGAGAGGGAAACTGGGGAGCGTTTCTTCCCAAAGTCATACAAAGACTTTGCTCTCAACACATCATGCATTGTGCTTCGCCTTATGGGAACCGTTCCCTTGGGACACCGTGTCCCATTTAGGTGCCACATTTGCCATGCCTCCTCTCTTACTCTTCCTTGTTTTCCTTCCATATCATTTCTACTAGTACCATCATTCTCATCTCTCTTCACATTCATCCCTCTTGGCATCTCCGTTGGCTCTTTCTGTTCCATCAACCACTTATTACAAAGTTTTCATATACTTAAATTCATATTCCATGAGTATAATTTAATTAAACAACATAAGTAGAAGATATGAGCAAAGTGCGATGAAAGCACAGTAGTAAAATTAATTTGGTCGTTGTACCTGAATCTTGTGATTCTTTAAAAGGGGGTGATCTAAAGCTAGTTGTTTTCTTTTGTGAACACAATCTACAAGATCTCCATCCGGACTCTATAATATGATAAAATAAAATAAAAAGACAATTACTGTTATACAATAAAGAAGGAGAAACCAACATTTATGTGGTCATTAAAATTTCAACCACTGATCACGTACACTACGAAACTGTAGTATATATAATATATAATATTAATAATAGTAGTAGTACCTCTATGGTGAGAACAGGAGGCTTGTTGATCTTGTCCAAGTGCCTACTAATCCTTTCAAGTCTCAAGCTACTGATTTGCCTATAGCTCGTGTAATTCAGCGTAGTGGATTCAACCACAGTCCTTTGTAGAAGTACGGTGACAAAGAAAGTCAGAAGGAGAAGATGATGGTAATGAGGAGTGGAACATAAGCACCTTATCTTTCTCCCAACAATACCCATATTTCTTTCAGCTCCAAGAAAGAAAATGGGTGAGACAATAACATAAAGCTAGGAAACCATTACTACCAAAGCAAACAGCACAAAGAAAATTTGACTTTCATGGGCATTTCCAAGCCCAAACACTAACACAAACAATAAAAGAAAGTTGGAAAACGACTTGTTAAGGGGAAGAAAAGAATAGGAAGCCTCTCTCTCTATATTTAATAATATTAATGGCAAGGAGGGAAGTGGGTGAGATCAATTAAGCTGTGGCTCAGAGAGCCTGTTGAACCTTCAGCATCAAGATCATGATTGCCTGCATTTGATTCATATACTGATGGTGCACGATGAAGCACTACCACGCATGCAGTTTAAAGATTTCTGGTGTTGTGTGGGATTGCACAAAAAACCTTGAACCAAGGAGAAAATATTTGTGAGGAAGAAGAGAAAGAGAGTGACTTGGCTGGCTTCAAAGTTGAAACATAATGAAAAAGCATTATAAAAACTCAGACCTACCCAACTGAAACAATCCACCTTTTATTGCACTTCTTCAATGTGTATCTGCCACCATACACTTTGCCATTAATATTTGGCTTGAAACACACCTTCCCTCGCTTGCTATAGCTTGCTTTCCTTCACAGTCTCTCCATTCCTTTGCTTAACCTTTTTTTAAACTCTGACAAATTAAATAGCACTCAATTGGTTGAGAGGTATGCTTTTAACCTTTTGGTTTTTCCACGTGGGGGCACCCCCCCACTTTTCATTTTCATCGCCTAGATCGTTGTAGCTATGATCCCAATTTATGTAGAGAAAAATAAGTATGACTTTTTCATTTTACTTTTTCACATTATTTATTGTAACTCATTATTTGTATTTGTAGATGATATTGTTAATATAATGTGAATATTATATATATATATATAGGTAGTTTATTAAATAATTTATTTTAAACTATAATTTTAACATATTTTGTATATTTTTCATTTTGCTCAATAATTTTTTAATAAGAGTATTCGTAACAATATAATGTGTGACTAGTCTGACTTGATAAAACGCATGTAAAATTATTTATTACTATGTCATTTTGTTTGAGATTTTATATAATTTCTTTGATTACTTAATTATGTTAATGATGTAATTATTGATCTTATCAATAATGTGATTTATAATGGAGTGGATATTAAGTAATTTACACACACACTCATATATATATATATATATATATATCAAACTTTAATATTAAAAGTTTAAATGTTATATATTCTGCGGCGCTAAACGTGCAGTAAAAGTTATGTTTATAAACTCCTGCATGGTTAATTTTGCGCGTGTTGAATCTTGGGTTCTGACTTGTGAGTGTATCCTGTGTTGTGTACAAAGGAATTTTGGTCAAAATTTGCCATATACGTGGCAAAATTCCAAATTATTTTCCAGCTCTTTGCACCAATCTAAACTTTCCTTTCAATCATTTAGTTGGTTCGACAAGCAACAAAATGTAGGAAACAAATAAATTCAACGAACTAAAGCAATGTGATTCTCGAATGATGAGTTAAATGAGTTTAACAGTAAAATGTTAACGATCAGATGCACCCCATGTTTTCTATAGTTCCTTGCTTTCGTGAACGCCATTTCACTTAATTCATTAATGTAGCATGTATCTGGGTTGTTCTTGTTTGCTACTGGTAAACCTTGAGTTAGGGCAATCTAATCATTACGTGAGTTCGATGGCTTTAAAGGCAAGCGGATTATAGGAATAATCCGGATGGGTGACGTGATTTCATGTCATAACTCAATAACAATAACGCTATTTTAATTTTTATTGTAGATTTTTTCATAAAAACTTAATTGTTAAAATAAAAATGTCATAGATTTATAAACAAATATAACATATTACATTAATAAATAGTTTTATTAACATAACTATTAATATGAAAATTTCAAATTTGTATCAATAAATTAATTGTTATTATTACTAGATAAAAACTGTACTAATAAAAAATATCTTATAATATTAATTTGTGGTATCAAAACTGTGATACGCTAGCAGCACCAAACTATAAGTATTTAGGAATATTACTCAAATGCTTTCAAAAGGTTATTCTTTCACTTCCCTTCAGATCTGAGACGTGAATTAATATCACGACACACCAACCATCACTCATAAACTTTAACGGCGAAGGAAAGTTAACCATGAAAACTTCAGCAGCCACCAACTTGGCCTCGTGGCTTCCACCGTTATCTCTTACTGACGCTATTTCGGATAGTAATCAATTTTATTCGGCTCGTACAAAGCACATATACTTCATTTATTTCATCGTCATACTTTTAATTTTGTGATTGAATAATCCTAATTTCTATTAAGTGATGAAAATTAAAGTAAAATAAATTTTAATTATTTGAGAAAATAATAAGACTGTGAAAAATAGTATCCCCAAAAAAATCCAAATTATTTCTCTTCCAATTGTATATGCTTTCTACTTAATTAATGTTTTGTTTTGGGTCCAAAATATTATTTTTAACAACTCGAATCATTTTTCGTCCAAATTAAAAATGTTTTTCTTTCTTATCAACAAATTAAAAATGTTTTGAACGATTCGAGTTACTACATATATTCGGCAATATGTTAGCCTTCAGTTTACTGCAAGCCCAGTGTTTCTATGGGCCTGTAGTTCTCTGAGCCTTGCTTTAGTTTTGGTCCTAACGGGGTGCCCAGGCACTTGAAGGCAGCAAAAATTTCGTTGGGCACTGTTGGAATTAGTTCTAGAATTTTATTAATTAGTGTCTTAACTGGTTAAGAAATTTAAAAATAAAAAATATTCACAAGTATGTTAGAAATAAAATCATAATAAATATATTTTAATAACAATTTTGGTAAAAAAGTTATTTCTTTAACTAAAGATACTGGTTAATATTTTTCTTTATTCTATAATTATTAATGGTCGATGCTCCCATCTTTACTCCAATGTATACTTTCAAGATAACTCGTATGAAATTCCAAGAATGTTAGAGAGCTACGAAATCTAAATTAATCCTCTCTTATGTGGAGAAAGGCAATCTTCTTGCACACGCCATTAATTTGGTGAAATATTGTCTTGTGAGTATAGCAATAAACATTTAATAATAATAAAATATTTTATTATTATATTTTTATAATTTTCATATGATAAATGTGTATTTTTTTTATTTATAAATACTTAAACAATTAACAAAACCCTTAAAAAATGCTAAAATTCTAATTTTTATTATTGCATCTGATATATAGAATAAATAATTGAACGATTAGAATCGTTTCCTTATTTCCACTGTGAAAAATAGGTCAAAAATATTGATGGACTCGTCGTCTTTTTTCATGCAAACATGTATTGGTAATTATTCGGATACGGATTCAGTGCAGTTGACGCGGGAACTGCACGTGCAGTTCTTCATTCGCTTAAGCCATTTTGACATGGCTTAAGCGAATATTCGCTTAAGCCCGTATAGGCTAGCTTAAGCGAACGAAGGCTTAAGCCAATACTATAAGCATGGAGCGACATATTGAACTAAAGCGAATGGGTGATGCGCTTGAGCTAAAATATACTCGCTCAAGCGAAAAATAACAGAGAGGGATTACAAAATGGCTTAAGCGTACTTGATTTAGCAATTATAACCGCTCTCTAAAGTGCACTTATGAGAGCGTTTCAATTATAACTGCTCTCTAAAGTGCACTTATGAGAGCGTTTCAATTATAACTGCTCTCAGAAGTGAACTTGGAGAGCAGTTATATTTGAACCGCTCTCAGAAGTTCACTTGTAGAGAGCAGTTGAAAGAATAACCGCTCTCTAAAGTGCACTTATGAGAGCGGTTCAATTATAACCGCTCTCCGAAGTTCACAAATTTGTCGACGCAGCTCAGCCTTAAACCCATTCTCTCATTTCATTCATTTCATCCTTATATCAAAAAATATTGAAAAACCCTAAACCCCACCCCAAATCCAGCATTCTTCCCATTGCAGCATTCCTCTCCCATTATCAGAGCAACCTAACGATTCCAGGTAAGAACTCTTACAGCAATATGTTGTTCTCCTACCTTTTAGGTTAGGGATGGTTCCATGCTTCTGGATACTATTATGGAAACAATGCTTTCAAGGGTTTAGGGTTAATGTTTTTAGAGTTTAGGATTATCACTCTGTTTGTTGTTAGATTGACATCAATATTTATGTGAAGTTAGGTTCTTTCTGTAAAGAAACGCTTAAGCGCGCCTGACTCGCTTAAGCGCCTCATTTTGGCTTAAGCGAGTATTGAGATTTGTCAAAATTATGTGTATTTTCCAATTTTCTGAGTATTGAAATTTGTTACCTTGCAGATATAGCTCCTAAAAAATCAATTCCCCAAAGAAAGAAGCAACGTTCAGATGTTGCAGAGGCTTCACAATATGTACACCATACAAGAACTCAGGATAATGAACCTCTAACACAACCGAGCCCCAGTCAGCAACTTACCTTTAACAGATACAGGTTCTTCAGTCGAGCGCATTTTCAGAGATATTTGGAATTACACCCAAGGGAACTTCTACCTGAAAGGAAAATTATTTTGGAGGAGGGACAATTTGCTGGATTTACAGAAGAACTTCAGAGGAGAAAATGGAATATATTGGCTGACCCACCAAATAAAATTGATGAAGACATAGTGAAGGAGTTTTATGCCAATGCATGGCCCTTGCATCCACAAAAATCTGACAAGAAATCTTGCGTTAGAAGGACATCCATCTCCTATGATAGAGATGCTATCAATGCATTACTGGGGAACCCCCTCACCTTAAAAGAAGGACAATTGTGCGAATACCAGCAGCGGAGGCGCCTAACCACAGGATTTAATGATGATGATGTAGCAAGGTCCTTATGCATTCCCAACAAATCATATGAAACTAACTATCAAGGCAAGCCAATGAGGTTCAAGAGAGGGAATTTGAAGACACTGACTCAAATATGGATGTCATTTCTCTTTGCAAACATTGCTCCAACCACTCACACATCAGATCTTCGCATGCCTCGGGCCTACCTTGTCTTCAGCATTATGGAAAACCTCACAATCGACATTGCAACTGTGATCTCTAAGGAGATTCACCAGCTTGTTTTGTCCACCAACTCCCCTTCAGATACCAAACAATCCAACATAAAGCATCAAGTTGAAAAAACCTATAAATGCCCAGTTCATAAACAACTATTGCATTAACTCATTGGACCAGCCACAGCCACAACCACACCCAGCTTCTGATCCTTCTTCATCAGCACCACCATCAGCACAACCATCCATCCCCAAAATGACACCCATGGAATGGCGTATCACCCAACATTTGAATCAAATACAGCAACAAATGGAGGACAACAATCGGGCATATACACATATACACTACCAGATGGCGGCTAACCATCGAGCCTACACCAGCCTTAATAACTCTTTCTATCGCTTTACCCTACACCAGCATGCAGGAGAGACTTCAACATTTCCATGGCCAACCCCAGAGGATTTTGCAGGTGTAGTGTCATGGCCTGGAGACACACCTTCCTTCTCAAATGAACCTAATGCAAATCATGAAGATGGTGGACCACAAGGAGAGGAACCAGAAGAAAGGGGAGAAGGAGAAGGGGAAGAAGAAGAAACGGAAGC